TGAATACTGGAAGAGGATCTGAATGACACCCAACTTGTAGAAACTGCAACAGCCATCACTTCAGATCTAGGCCAGTCAGAGTGGCTGAGCGACAGAGACACACAGCGATGCAGGGCACATTTTGTTGCAAGCATCGTTGACAAGAACAAAGACGATGACAATCACTTTCTATACGTACTACACACTTGGTGTCTATCATACTTGTAGCAGATTTCAAGTGTACTTCTTGAAGGGCATAGGAGCTCTTTGTGTTGCGGGCCTCTGCTCTGGGTAATTGGGTGCCATGAGGATGAATATTTTGTGAGGCCTGTCCTCATCAAGATTGATAATTGTACTGAATTGTCCTCTGGTGATGATAGCTGGGATGGATTTATCATTGAATCCTCCGACCGAGGCCTTCAGCGAGCATTTCTCATGATTTGTTCATTGACTTCTTGAATGGAGTCGTTTGACTTCGGATATTACAAGCTGCAGTTAACATTCGGAGAACTGTGGTCAGATATGATCCATTTGTTCATTATTCATACTTACTTATAATATTAAGTTATTATTAAACTCAAACTATAATAAACCTCACAGTAAGTACATAGTTTGTTTAATGACTGTAGCTATATAACTCAAGAATGATGCTGCTGAATGTCCTTCACACTGTTTCTTAGTGCTGAGGGTTCCTTGTGTTGGCAAATGATGTAGACATGCCCTTTACCTCCTGACATCCCCTTTACTCAAAACAAAGGTGGCCCCCTACGTCTCCTGCCCTCCCCCCTGACACATGATGTGTGTTTTCTGCGTGTGTGTCCACACGTCCCAGGCTGTCAGATCTTTGCACCTGCAGCACCTTCGAGTAGCTACAGTCTGTTGAAAGGTAGAAGGACGAGGGGAGGGAAGGGAGAGTAAGGAAGATGGACAGACAGTGGAGATGGCCCTACACCAAATCAATGTAATCACAGCCCTTATCAGACAGCCATTCAATCTGGAGGGAGCTCGGACAGAGAGAGAGAGAGAGAGAGAGAGAGAGAGAGAGACTGAGGGGAAGAGAGGGAGACGGCAAGGCAGGAAAGGAGGACAGAAAAAGAGAGCTTCAGTTGCATTCAGATGTCTGTGTGCGTCTCCCCCCGACACACACACACACCTCTTCTCATCTCCTCCTCCATCCTTTCATTGGCTCTGATGAGCTCCCCGGCTATTGTGTGTCCAGGGTTATTTAAAAGCAACACCCCTCGAGGAAATTCCCAGGGATCGCAGGGTCCGCTCTTATCGCAAACCGCCAAAGCAGCTCCACCTGAACCCCGAGGGCCAAACACATCGATGGACTGACTTGTCCTTCACTCTCGTCCTGCTGCTCACTTACACCGCAGCGCCAACCGAAACTGTGGCTCTGTCGTTTTGGGATAAGAAGAATTAGAACAACAGAACAACATTAATAATGGTTGTTTGCCACTTCTGTGGTTCATTTCACATTCACACAAGATGTTCCCAGTTGAGTCATTTTGCTCTGTTGTGTGAAATAAGTTTTATCTTGCTTCTAATATTTTTCTTTCAATATCAGCCTGCTACGTAGTCACGTTCATATACGCAGTCATTTCTAGTGCTTCCACTTTCAATAACAAATAATCTTCTTAGCTTATTAAGAATAAACCTGCCTTCTGTCCTTAGCTGAATAGTGATACTTGAAGAGCCTAATATCTTCTGAGGTGGTACGCAGTGTAAATGGTTTGAGAGACAGTGGTGTTGATAATATGTCCTTTTCTTTACACTTCCCTTTGCTTCTTTCTCACTGATTTTTGCCTTCTGACTCTTGCCCTAACTGGCAGCTTTGCGGTTACGTTTGTGCTGCCTGACTTTTTGTTTGCAGTGCTGACAAAGACCTCTTGCGTGGGTGGAGTTTTTTCAAGGGTGCATCCCCATTGGCTCAGGAGTTTTTGAGTGACAGCTCCATCCCCCGGACATTGTTCCGCCAGTGCAGAGAACGCGAGTTTTGGCAGACAAAACGTGTAGTGCAGAACAGACGACATAAGTGATCCATACTTTATTACACTTTATTAATCTTGTAGTGCATGACCAGTGCTGCTGTTTAGGGTACCTATGTGTGTTCGATATTTAAGGGACACAAAGGGATTTTATAGGATGTAATATTTACATTTACTTCCAAATTCAGCATGTATCAAGAAGGACTAGATATTTCCAGTCTAGTCCCATAAGGACTTACAGAAAAGGACAGTCAACCAGCACATGAGCACAACACCTGTTAAAAGTATCAGTTGTCCTTGTAGGACTGTGTTGGAGCTGCACACCTGTTAGGGAAGAAAGTAGCTGTATGTTGTATAAAGTGTATATAACTGTTTGCTCAAAGCGGTTGGGGTTAAATTGCCACATCCCAGCCTTTCTTATAAATGAGTTGCTGCCCTTCACACAGACACTGAAGACGTCCATCTGTTCACAGACCTGTTGCCTTATCACTCCACTGCTGCTCCATCCCCACAAGGGACATGTTTGAAAGCCCTGCAGTACTACAGTAATGCAAGATAGATGCAATGTGTACACATAAACACTCAAGCTTCAAGCCTCAGATATTAAGCCATGGGTGTACTGTACAGTTATAAATCCCATAACCAAAGGCTCTAATTCTGCCTCTTTCATGTCTGCCAAACACTTCCCTGAAGAGAAATTGATCAAGTCTTCAATGAGGGAAAAATCAAATTGGCTATTACAGAAACAGAGGAGTCAAGTCCATTGAAGGGATGAAATGAGCCATGAATGGAGCGAGAGAAAGGAAAAAGGCAGGATGGATAGGAGGGTCTATTGTTCAAAGAGGTGCGTCTCCACAAGAGAGAAGAGATGGGTAATAAGAGACTTGGAGGATTGTTACTGTGGCAGGCAATTCATTCCAGCTCCAAGGAGCTATAGAAAAGAAGGGCTGAGATTGGTGAATGGAAGAGTGAAGACGGGAAAATGAGTGTGGCAAGGAGAGAGATGATCTGCAGGCATGTATTGTGGTATTGTACATCAGGTATTGTACCATAACAAGCTGTCTGTCAGACGGTGAGATCAGAGGCAACTGTTGTTCACCCGTTTCACACAATCCGTCTGCTGATTTTCTATGAGGGTACCTTTAACATTGCATGATATAATAAATAACTGGGTTTGAAGTCAAGGTGAAATCCAAGACAGCAATTGCTTTGTGAAGACAGTTTTACAGATTTGGATATAATGTTCAAGCAGCACTTAACTGTCAGATTTTGTTAGCCCAGATGCGTCTTTGGCACTATGACACATATTGCACCCCGACTTTCCCTCTGTTGTAGTATTGTCAGCAATAAGCTAAAAAAGCACATCTGCGATAAAGCACAAAGTAACATGTTGTACTATAAATCAAAGTACACAGCATCAGACTATTTCAGCTTTAATAACACACAGGTCAGCAATTTGCTTCTTTTTTTATTCTTATGTATTCTAATATTAGCATATGGATATAACACTTTTTGGAAAATACGTTGTTATCTTTGGACAGAGCCAGTCTTTGTGCTAAGCAAAGTTAACCAGCTGCTAGCTAGTTTCATGCTTACGGTACAGACATGACAGTGGGATCAGGTTTCCTCATCTAACTCTTACAGGATGGACACACAGCACGGTGTGAGCAGTGTGTGGCGGCTGCAGTCAAAGGTGTACATGTTGCTGGTATGTCGATATGACGATGACCAGATCTTTTTCACTGTCTAATTTTCGCTGGGAACCGCTCTCGGAAAATATAGGCTTCTATCGTGAACAATGTCTGAGACGTGTGGCTCCTCTGACCTGTTAATGTGGGCGGCGAAGTAGAAAGCAAGACGTCCGGCGATGTACAGGCGCTGGAGATGCATGCAGAGTTTCCAGGGCTTCAGCAAGAGAGGACATATGTGTATTTCCCAAAACGCTGAACTATTCCAAATTTGTAGAAGTAAAAATAGTTTTACGGTTAATCACAAAAAACCTTCTATAACCTTTTACAGCTAACTTAAAATCTGGGACAACAGGTTTTTAGCCTATAGCTAACACTAATAAAAATGGAGGTTGCACTGGGAAACTTCCAGGTATGACGGCGTGAAGCAGGATGCCTCTTTACCACTGCTGGAAACTTCTGGGCAGGCTGATTTTCTCACTCCATCCCCAAGCATTATGTGGTTCAACATCTTCTACTGCTGCAGGCTGTACAGATCCACACTTTCCGAACCCAGGATATAGTGGGAAACTGGCTCCTATGAAACTGCGGCCTCTCAAGGACATTTTTGCCCTGAGCTCTCATTTGTTTCTCACCCCACTGTCAGCTCCGTTTCCACCACAGGCCCAGCACCTCTGCCAACACCTGTGTTCTCAAAGCAGACAGCTAATTCTCTACACAGAACCCAATGTGACTGGCACTCACCTCCACCTCTCTCGTTCTCTTTCCTCGACTGATCGCTTTGTGTGCTTTGCTAGCGAGGCTAATTATTTCAGAGAGCGAAGGTAGAGAGGGCGGGACAGAGAGACATACAGTCCAGTGTTGGGGAGGGTTCATCTTTGTGAGTGGAGATAATATTTACAGCATACATCGTGTGAGGCAAACACTGTTAACTGCAGGAACTCTAGAGCAGACAAGCACTCGTACAAAGGCAGGAGCACGCTCCTTCTATGCTCAATAGCCCTCCCGTTCTCACCTCCCTGCCTCTCTCTCTGAGGGTATATCAAAGCTTCACAGAAACAGCCGTGCAGTTTCAGGCCCAGGTTGACTTGGCTTTTTGCAGCACTGCAAAACTTGATGTCTGCCATTAGCCTCAGGGAGAGAGCGAGGGAAAGGTGAAGGAAGGTTAAATGAAACAACAAAGTGGAGGTTTGAAAGGAAAACGACACATTTTCACTTCTTGTCTCGGTATTACTCAAGTGTTACATTTTAAAATCCTTTTATGAAATGTTTTGCACAATAAAGCTCATTTGGAAATCAAGCATAAGTTCAACCTCTCTGCCCTGTGCTGTCTTCCCTGTAGGGCTGAGCAGTGCAGAGTATCAGCAGCCGGGGAAGGCCTCGTGTGTGAGTGTCAACTGGACGCTGGGTGACACACAGTTGGAGGTGGTCAACACGGCCACTGGACGGAGACGGGAATCAGGGACACCCTCACGTCTCTGCAAGCACACCCTGTTCACCCGCTGGAACAGACTGTACCGCAAGGTGAGGGCAAAAATAAATACATCTGGTCAGTGGCTGAACTGTATTTTAGGCACACAGACAGTGTTAGGTGCCTGGTAGTTGGCGCACTTCCAGGACTTGGATGAGCATTAAACTTCATTTGAATCGCAGGTACAAAACACGAGCAACAGAAAATAAGACTGTTAGAAGATATCATGTTCTTTGATTAAAAAGTTAAAGTTATTAGACTGTGTGCAAGAAAAACAAGCTCACACTTCTTTTTGCTAAGAGGCTTAAAATTGTGTTGTGCGCGCGAACTGAAGCAAACCTGATAAAACATTCAGCTATTTGAATTAGCTCAGATTCAGATTCAGGGTCAGTTTTGGATGAAACTGCGATGTGTTTAATCCCGACTGCAACAAAGAAGAATTCTGAATTTGCTAAAGCTCTGATTTACATATTTGACTGATCTTTCATCTACGGTTCATGGGTGTTGTAGTATTTACACCCAGCTGCCAGACCAAACTCAGAAGATTTCTCAGAAACAAAGAGCCAGTTTGCCTTTATTAGAGAGGTGACAGGAAATGAGGGAGATGCAGCAAAGATCCCAGGGATGCTGCGGTTCACGGTCGATGTCTAAACCCCTAAACAACGCCGCCCTCCAGGGACAAAGCTGAGATAATTAAAACACACTGGCCATTACACAGTGTTAAATTATCCAGCTCCGATGTCTTCATGTTGCGGAACACTGAGGGTATGATTAGAAGGAATGGGAATTTACAGATAAAGTTACAATTCTGCCAGAAGCAGCAGCTCCTCTCACTCTATAGAGGGTTTCTCATTGCAGACTCTCATGGTAGAAGAAGCACAGGTGTAACATTAATGATAGCTCTGTTCCATACAAGAATACCGGCATGCACAACGCCAAGGCACTGGCACAACTAAATGGATTACAGCCATTATTGATAGTACTAACTACACTGTGCTTTGCTTGTTATGACATGTTGAAATTTCCGCCGTTAAAAAGTCAGCTGCTAATTTAAATGTTAATTAAAAAACACCCTCCACAGTGTATCTTTTGCTTGCTGGAAAAATATTATGAAGTACTATTTAATTATTATGAGCCTGAACAATAGTCCCGTTTTTATATGAAGAAATGTCTGTTCCAACACTCGACTCCCTGTGCATGCTCCTCAACGGGAAAGCAAGAGGCATCCCTCAAATGTTGTCAGAAACAATACGCAATCCTTTACCATCAGGAATCACATGCAAGCAGTAACACATAAACACTGACTGCAGAGGTGCATGCCAACATCCACTCGGTGAAAAAGCACAGACACACGTGTTAAAGTCAGAGCGACAGAGCGCTGTGGCTGCAGGTGAACGCCCTGTGGACGATATGTGGAATTTCCTCTCTGCCATAGATACATTTGTTGGCCGGGCAGCATCTGCTGTCTATGCGGCTTATCAGAGACTGGCAGCTCGGATCTTTAACGTCAGCACGCAGACCTGCTGCACTTTCATTTGCATTCTGAAACTTTATGTAACAGACACTGCCTGCATCACCAAATGGCGGCCGTTAAAGCATAATGACTATGAAACCATAATTATTTGGAGGAGTACTCGAGGAGGCCCCCACCCTAAGTGCTCCCTGCGCGCCGTATATAAGGGCCACGCTAGAGCAGTCGCACTAATCTCCAAAAGAAACTTTTACTCTCTCCCTCTCTCTCTCCCCACTTGTCTCTCCGCCGATCTTCATTGTTTCCCCTCGCGACAATAGGAATGCGCAAAAAGCACAGAGAATGTTCAATTGCTTGTGAAATTTAAATGGGGAGATTACACAGCTGTTGAAGCCCCCCACCACCTCCCAACCCCACCCAAATGCATTTGTGCCGGCTCATTCGTTTTGTTTGGTCGCTCTTCTTCTTCACCCCCACCTCACAGAACCTTTAGCCCCTCTGCCCCGGCTTTATTCCTCTCTTTGTTTTCCCCTCCTATCTTCACGTCTGTCTCTATGTCGCTTTTATCTGACTGCCAATTGCTCTCTCTCCCTCTCTCTCTCTCTCCCTGTCTTTCCTCTTCTCTCTTGCTCGCTGGCCTCTTCAGTTGGGGATCCACGTGTCCGGCTCGGCGGACCGCCAGCTCATGTACTGCGAGGCCAAGATGGCGGCGCGTCCTTACCAGACAGTGAAGCAGCAGTGGTTCAGATCTCTGCAGGAAACGGGTCTCGGTACCTGGGTCAAGAAACCGCCCGAGCAGGAACAGTTCCTGCTGACGGTCTGAGGAAGTGTGTGTGTGTGTGAGTGAGATAAAGAGTGTGTGTTTGTTTAACCTTTATTTTTTTAGTGTAAGATGACTACATGCTCTTTACCAACATCCTGCTTCACACCTTCATAGCTGGAAGTTTGTCAGAGCAACCTCAAAACTCAAGGCTATCACCAACATGTGTGTGTGTCATCCACCCAATAGAAAAACGACAAGAGGAAGGTCAACTGGACGGACCCCGAAAAGAAAACAGACATAAAAGATGGTCTCTTTCTTTGACTTGCCCTTCTTTAAACGTACAAACACACACACACGTTTAAGCAAACACACACCTAAATGCCCCCCTCTTCGGCTGTCAAGGAAGGGTGGGGTAACCTTGAGCAGAATGAAAGGCAGCCGCTATCTTGTCATCAGCTATTTCCGGGCCCCAAGGCTCCCGCTGAGGAGCGGAGCCACGGGGGAGAGAGAGCGAGAGAGAGACAGAGAAAAAGAAAAAGAGAGAGTGAGAGAGGTCCACGTCCAATTACCAGCCCTGTCAGGGTGACGGGTGATAGAGGAAGAGGAAGGGAAGCGATGGGAAGAGTGAGAAAAAGAGAAGGACCAGCCCGCCTCACCTTCCCTCCCTCATTTCTGCCTTTGTCCTCCTCCTCTGACTCACCCTTTGACTCCTGACTTTCGTCTTCTTTAGTCTCCACCTCTCCCTCCTTGCCCTCTTTCCATTTTCTTCCCTCCTCCACCTCGCCTCCTCTTTGTCACTCTCTCCTCTTTGCTTGCGCCTACCCCTCCGCTCCCCCCTCCGCTCCCCCCTCTCCTGCCTTTCAAGCTCGGCGGAGGTTAACACGACATGACGACAGGTTAATACACTCTCATTTTTTCTCTCTCTCTCTCTCCCATCCTCACCCCACTGGGTAGAGAGAGGGAGAAGAATAGAGGCGAGGTACATAAACGCAGCCATTACAGCTTGCTTAAGTACAGGTGGAGGTGATGATGGAGGGAGGGGAGTAGCTTCCTGTGTTTCCCTCGCTTTCGAACTACATTTATTTCCTTTCTATTTCTGTCTCAGCTCGGTTTTCAGCCCGCCACGGCGTGTTTCTGTACATCTGAATCGAAGCTTGCTGCCAATGAGAGCGAGCTTCGGTTGTGACTCATTAGCGAGGCCTCGTTGACCTGATCGACTTGCGCTTTCGTTCTGTGGTCATGACCGCCCTGAAATTTAATAGTCGAGGTGGAGAAAAGTTTTGTAAGCTCACCCCTCACTGTCAGTGCTGTGATTTTATTTGTAAACGGCATTAAACTCACAACCTTCACATACGAATGATCACAAATCAGCGAGGTGAATCTCTGATGTACATTTGCACCTCACGCTATTGTTTATGTCTCTGAGTATTTCATGTAAACATACACACTGTGTGGGAATCCTTTATGCAGCTTAGTGTTCATACCCATTCTGATCCTGACTGTGTCGTTCTGTCATTGCTGTATTCTCTTCAAGGTTTTTTTTAGTCGAGGCATCCAAACCGCCATCAGCCTGGCTCAGTCAGCAGCAAAATCTAAGTAGTGAGAGTGACATCTAGTGGTGTTTTTCTGTTGTTGTTTCCCCTGTGCTGCTCCCACCGAGCCCCCTGCTCTGCCAGCATCCTGTGCTCCGGTCAGGGTACGCTATCAAATTAAACTGTCTCACCGTTGGAAGTGTAAGAATGAGACCTTCGGTGGAGATGAGGCTCTGACACACAGGCAGATTTACACAAGAGAGAACTTGACCCACATTATGACCAATTTTTACCCATTTAACAGGTCTTTAATAGGTCGAGGATATTGGCCAATCAGTAATGCTTCACAGCTGTCAATGTGATATTCTTTGTTTTAAAGATTTAAAGGTCCCCAAAACTTAAATGACTTAACCAAAAGTAAAAACAACATTCTTAGTAACTTATTCAGAGTTAGAGTAAAAAAATGTGGTGTGTTCATATTTGATTGACAGTGACCAGATTGGGATTCAAATGTTTGCTAAATTGTCATTGGTTCACTTAAGCACGCAACATTGCCTTTTTCTAAATGGAGCCTCCACCTACTTGAAGTCAGTAAAAAGAGCACAAATCCAGGAAGCTCTCATGTGAAATACCCAAAACTGCTCTAACTTTGCCAGAAAATATTCATGACTCTCAGTAAAAAGGTGATCGAGAAAACGGGGCCTTTAAATGATTTGTTTGAAGGTAGCGGAGTGTCCCAGCGTCTCCTCTAACACTGAGCAGGTATGGTCGGGTCTCCCTTTCAAAGATGACAGCACTAAAAATATTTTAGTATCTCATGTTTCATTGGAGTTTTTATGTCCCATGATGGTCTGCATGTCACTTTAAAGCTTTTTCATCACGACGAGAATACAATTCTGGGAGACATTTACTTTTTATGTCATGACAGTGACAAAATATAAAGATATTGCTCCAGTATATTATCTGCTAGTGGCATTAACCTTTTAGGGCCCCCTATTGACCACCACCTATATCAGCAGCTTTAATATGCACCCAGAGAACAACTTCTTTTTTGTTGGAATAGTATCTGGCCCCAGACTTTCTGCCTGTCACATAGTTTGTGCTAATCTAATTAAATGCAACTTTATTTAGAAAAATAAACAGCGTAATTTAAAATAATAATAAAAAAAGGAATTAAGGGCAACGAGAGAAGGAACAACAGGGCAACAACATTAGTTCATAAAGCCTAATTGACATACAATGAACCTGGGAATTCTGGGTCTCCTGGGGGTCTGAGGGTCTTGGCCTGTGGCAGCTTTAATAAAAAACATTGGACGTCAGTTTTCAGGGACTCATGTTGCCTGATTCTTTGTTTACACCTCAACCGAGCGCTGGAAATCCTGAATCTGCTTTACCATGGCAGCAAAGATCAGACTTTGTGTAAATCTTGTCTGTGTGTATCAAAACCGAGAGTCAGTGTTTGTCTTTCATCAACATGTGGTACAGATTGTTTACTGTCTGAGCGTCTGTCATCAGCCTTGATAACTTCAGACCTCACACGGTTTGTCAACAACAGGTAACAACACTGCTCACTGCTTCACACCACGTTTCATAACGGCTGCATTAGCCATGAAAACAGATTTGCAGATTTATTTTGAGAGATAATAAATATAAGGCATGTCTGACTGGCAATATTGTATCAAAGAGTGTACATATGTATAAAAGATGTTGACCAAGATGTGAAAGAGATCCTAAAATGTCTAATTATGATGTAAATTAAAGTATATGAAGAATTGCTGCTACGGTCTGTAAATTGCACTTCAGTAACAAATAAAAAGTGAATGTTTGTACTGTATATGTGAATAAAACCACAAAATCTTGTAATTTTACCTTGTCTTGATAGTTTTTTGATTAATCACCTTTTGATGTCAGTTAAATGTATTATATTGTATCTGAGCACTGATATGGAGCCATTCCCACGTTGACAGCCTCATGATCACCTTTCTTTAGCCAGCGCTGGCCCCTCCAGGAGCATCCAGACAAATATTAAAGAGGCCTCCCTCCTGCCTCTCCCAGGGGAAATCCATGGGGAAATGGTTATCTCTTTTAGGCTCGGTGGCAGGTGTCATACAGACCAGCCACCAAATTAGCCTGGAGGAAGAATGAAGCGAAGAAGAAGAGGGCGAGGGGGGATCGAGGTATGCCTCCTCAGCGCCATCCCCCCTCCCCCCTCCCCCCTAAGGCCATGGAGTCGACTGTGTGCTCTACAATAAACATCATAATTGACAATTTGCTCCAGTGGCTGGTCACGGCCAGCCGGCTGTAATCTAATGGATGCGGACAGAGAGGTAAGACTCCACAGAATATTCTCTCTCCCAGTGTCGGGCTGTTACTCAATGAAATCTAAGAGCCATAACGCTCTAAGTATGACACTATTTCAACATGTAGGCTCAGACTAACATACACTACTTACATAAGGATGATATCTGCTTTTATGAGTGGCCCAGCATCTTCAGTAAAAATAATCCAACAATGCTCCAACCTTTATTTTGGAACCAAATGGCCTCTGGGTGCAAAAGACAGTAAAAATGGTGTGAATTAAAGTATATTCACTCAATTACTGTATGTAAGTTCAAATACTGCATGTCTCTAATTGTACTTTAATGTTTCTACTTCACTATATTTCAGAGGGAGATTTCACCTCTAAACCTTGCATACGGTTTTATTTAAACATGCAATAACTGATTTTGGCCACGTGGGGGCAGCATAAAGAAGTTGTGAACCCAACATTGACCTATCAAGTTGATATAGTGAAGTTCGCAAACAGTTGCTTATTTATCCATCCAGCAGTTATGGAGCAACATGATCATTCATTGGGAGTCATGTTTGTGGCCACCCAATGTGTCTGCATGTGGTGCTGAGCAGGTTGAGGGAACCAAAAACAGTAAAGTTACAGCCACACAGCTAAACACTGAGCTCAAACTCTGCAAAGTTCTGTAAAGCCGAGGGGAGCTGCAGATTCATGTAACAGTTCTTTGTAGGTTCAGCGCTGCCAGCCACCCCATAATACATTACCAATATTCAATAAGGCCCTATTAAATGACATGAAAGGCCAAATGAGATTATTTCATACAAACGAGATTAGAGAAGAATTAAAACAGATTTGTGTAGCATTAGTTTTTTTTTATTTCCTACCCCATTAGATAAATCAGGACCCCACAGATTAATCTAGTGACCCATTGGGGGTTGGGACACTGGACTAAACTCTATCTGCGTAGTATTTACACTACTAATGCACTGCAATATCTGTACTCTTAATAATAGGGACGCACAATATGGACTTTTTTCAGCCGATATGATAACCGATAAATACCTGCTTCTCATGACCAATACCTATACAATATCCGATAATTTAGCTTTTTTCAATTTTAAATATAAGTTTATAACCTGTAGTTTTTACACACCTGAGGGTAATGAAGGTAAATAAAGTTTTAGGAAGCAAAGATAGATGATTAACGTTCCATAGCTCTGTTCATTATAACGTCACAAACAGACTTGGGGTTGGCTGTAATTAAATCATCCTGATAATTTATAATGTAAATGTCCCATTATCATCCAATAATTTATCTGTCCTGATGATTATCGTGCATCTCTACTTAATAATATATTATATATAAGATAGGTCATTTTTTATACATTTTGCTAATAATACTTCTACATGTAAGAGAGTGTTTCTGCTTTTACTTAAGGGTCAGAATAATATAGGCGTGTGTAAAAATAAAAAAGGTTTATAAGACATGAGCTACAATGGCATCACATCTACAGTGACAGCTTTTTTGACAGTTTTACAGACACTAGAAATTGGACTAATGTAATACACACACGTCCTGGAGTAAGAAATGGCAACATGCTGCTTCAAGAGTCTGATTAACTTAAACTTGTGTCTTTGGTAAAGATATTGGCAGTCAACAAACCAGAAAAAAACACCATTTTCCTGGAAGACAGCTGAATACAATAAAATGAACGATGGGCTGAATTCTATTTAGCTGCTTTGGTGTCAGGGTCCTGTGACAGAATGTTTAGTTTAGACACTATATCTAAAGTGAAACGTATTTAAATGTATTTTATTTATTGAACTTCACTGAAGTCTGCTATTACTACTGTATGCAATGGTGTCGCTGTCACATGGCATCCTTTTAACCTTAGCAACAAAACTTTACACAAACTAAAAATATTCAAAACAAAATAAATATGTTCCTGTTTGCACTCTAAAAATATTCCTACAATTTATGGTTCCTTGTCATTAACTCTAGACATTATTCCAAGCTACTGGATTAACATCCAGATGAAGTGTGATTTTTTAAAATGATACATTTTATTGAACTGAATAAAAGCGTGAGAGCGTAAAAAAGCGTTTGTGTTAAATAAGATGAAAAAGAGACACGAAAGCCAGGAAAAGGAATCACACGTTTTTATTGGAAAGTGTCAGAGAGCACGTACCCGTCACAATAAAGTATGCAAAGTAGATCACATAATGAAGTTTGAGGTGAATATGAGTCGCTACAATGAAGCGAAGCCTATCCACTTTTTTACCCCTCCAATCTGGCACACAATAATTTAATGTATCAATCCAAAATCATATTTCCTCCAAGTCAGAATTCATGTGGGGTGCAAATCGGACTTGCCTTTCTACCTGCAGATTAAAATGACATTGATATCAGTGGGCGCGAGATTGAATTCCCTGAATGAAGCAGGAATGAAAATCATATCTGCACTGTGCAGTGGAACACAATTAGTTATTTAACAAGCATTTGGAAAAGTGCATTGATGCTCAGATGGATAAGGCTAATGCACCATTTTCAATGCAATGGTAAGGCATTTAAATACGTTTATTACATTTTTAGGTTCATGCTACTTCAGATTCCATCCTGACTCTATTGTTGGTAGAAACAGCGGGAGAGTGTGTAGCCTGAAGCCAACTTTTGGGTAAGTTATGCATACCTATGTACACTGAGCTACATCTAACACCAGCCACACGAGTACATAAGATCATTTAATGGAATTTACAGCAATGAAATAAGTTAAACATCTGAAGATACAAACTACAGCATGACTTCATTTTAGGATATTGCACAACTGTAACACAGAGCCTCCTGGATTTCGTTCAAGCCCAATTCTAGTTATACTTCTCAAACTGAGAATCAGTGCGCATTTCAAGTCATATTCACTGATTTCCAAGACAGCAACGGGCTTCACTCTGAGCACCAGAAACAGAGAAGAGCTGAGTTATTGCTTCTGTATTTGGTATAAAGAGTGCCTCTCACAGACTGCAAAGCGCCATCTACAACAAAAGGTGCAAGAGGTCACACTATGGGTTCAATGCAAAGTGTAAACACGATAACTTCATATTGACAGGCTGTTACTGAAGCACAGAAAATAACCAGTAACCAACAAGTTCACTTGGGAATAACACATTACAGCAACACAGGGCTCTAGGTTGGCAACGGGCTGAAGAGGATTGGTCTGTATTTCACTGACGCAAGTAAATATGGGCGCATATTATGGCTAAAAGTACTGACACCTAAACCTGTAACACTAGATTATGATAACGCTGAACACATCCCATTCACAGACCTACAAGAGATTTGTGAACAACAGAAGTGCAGTTGTTTTCCCATTATTGCTATGCTCTTGACACTTTGCATTTTGACAGAGAGGCAGAATAGAGTAATACTTTTAAAAAGAAATCCTACTGTAAACATGGAACAAGGCAGAGTTACAGTATCATAAGTCTGAAATATTGACGAAACAAAAATCTGGAAGTCTGGAGGCTGGCTGTGAATTGAAAGCATCAAAGGTAACAGGCAAGGACTCAAACCTCAGTGAGTGAAAACGGTCACACAGGATACATTTTAAGACAACTGAAGGACCCCGCAGCCTGCATGCTGCACAGCTGATCTGGCAGGCCTCAATATGATATGTTTTGTTCCATGATAAGAAATATTCACTAAAAGGATAAAAACATTTCACAGAACAACGTTATCTCTGTCAAACTCCACCATCAAAGGGTAGACGACTGTAAGACACAGCAACAACCTGCAACACAGGTCACTTAATGAGGCCACGACATAATATATATACATAGCGTCTTTATATCATATTCTACAAACTCTGGCCTTTTAATTGTTCTCACACACCTTTACAAGTAACATTCGCAAAACGGGTTTATCTACATGCACGAGCAACCATTCAGCAGTAACTAAACAACAGTGATGTGAACAGCAGCCTGTGACTGTGGAGTCAAATATATATATATGTGTATATATATATATATATATACACACTTTAAAACAGAAAAGGCTAGGAGTAAAAGGACCAGTCTAGCCATGTCACAATTCACGATTCATGCTAAATAGGTGAAAGGGTCAAATACAGGAGATCAGCTCTGTGGCCTCGTACACACTTTGAAAATGTTGGAACCGTGTCCGTCACTTAACGCCGGGAGATGTTCCTGCAGGTTTCAACTGCGCAATAAATGAGTCATTCATCTGGGGGATGTGCTCCTGTCAATCCATGTGAACAGCTGCATCGTCAAAAGCAACACTAACTTTTTTTTCCCTCACACAATCCAGCAGCTGGAAATCAGTGACATGATGACTAAAATGCTTCACGGGGTAAACACTTCCAACATGCTAGCATGTGCGAGGCCACAGATTACAGTGTTTGTGTACCGCCTCCTTCTCTACTGTGTGTTTCTGTGTGTGTGCGGCAGTGGCATCACTTCTCCTGCAGGAGGGCGGGGATGTTGATGTTCCAGCCGATGGCCTGTCTGTCGAAGCCGCAGGTGAACAAGTTGCACGACTGGTTCTCTTCATTCCACGCTGTACAGCACACCATTCGTCTGTGACCCTGCACACACACACACACACACACACACACGCACACACGCACACACGCACACACACACACACACACAACACACACA